TTGTTTGCTATGCTTCTTTATTTACTGTTCTATGTTTTAGGAAAAATAAGTTTAAGAACTTATTTCAAAATAGCAATAATCTATATACATATTTATATAATGTATAATAATTGAAATGTGACTGTATTTTATAAAATACTAGCCAAATAAAACACAGCCTAAGACAAGTTACTTTGTACAGACCAAAGGTCACCTTTATGTTATTTGATATGGTAACATGAGTGCACGTGAGCCGCGTCATTGTAACTTCTGTATTGTTAGCTAGGCATGTGTGAAAGGTTAATATAATAAAAATAATAAATATATATAAATGTATAATGTTATGAGATTTAAGCTATTTCATCTAAACATTTATGTTGTTGTGTTATAATCTGTGTTTATTCTAGAATGAAAGATGCATAATTTATGTTTATTTTTTATGGTGGTTGCGAGATCGGTCAAATTTACCGAACCCATACAGAATTAATTACTGAAAATAACAGATAAAATATAAAGTTTTTTCTTAAAAAATGTTTGGATATTATAAAGATTTCACATGTGAAATTTTCAAATTTTCTGATGCATAAAAGTATTTTAAATCTTAAAATGAAAATTACTTTGCATGATAAATAGGCAAGATGTGAAAAGAAAAAAAAAAAGAGATGAGAGAAACATTGCTTTAAAACCTTGAGACTTAATAAAAAAATTAGATATTTTGCGTATGAAAACATTGCAATGTTTACTGATAATCTGCCAAATTTCGTGAACATCCGGTTTCTAATTTAACTAAGCCCATGCTGAAAGAGTTAAAAAACACTCTTAATTTAACAACTAGATTCACTCATAAGATACACTAAATAGTTTATTCTTTGTGTCAAAATAATGTCATTAATATAGGTATAAAAACATTTTAAAAAACAGCAAGATTCATGCTTGGCCTAGTCTATATGCTTATAGATTTAGGTTTTAAACTCAACCTATTAGGCTTACATTTCATAGAAAGATTTTTTTATTGATTGTTAAACAACTTAATAAGCATGTATTGCTCTATTTTGCATGCTTCATTCTTGTAGTGCTACATATCTACCAGGAATGTATAGCTAATACAAAGTGTTGCAATATAGAAGATGTTTACATTATTTGCTTTCAGCCAATTAACACTCATTATTCTCAATGAATTGGAAATTAAACTTTAACAAAATTAATCAATCTATAAATCTTTAATAAGAGAGAAGTATGTGCTTACCTGATGCCCCAACCGGGGTTTTCTGCAATCAATAGCACAGCATTTCTGAAATCTTCATCATTATTACCAGAAACCTGTAAGGGACAAATGAAATGCTACAGACTTTCAGGCACTTCCAAGGTTAGAAATCTGCATTATTTCAAGATTTAAGAAAGACATTCTGTTTAAGCTTAAAGAATTGTAAGTTTCTGATGTTTGTAGAGCAGGCATTACTGAAAACAATTCCTCTTCTGATACACCTACTTCTTGAGTTTTGGTCACTCCTTAGTGAGTGAACAGTCACATTATTGTGGCTAATGCAACCATATTATAAAGATTATAGGCAGGATTCACATAAGGCTTATTGATAAATTCTACTTTAGTTCAATGTCTAATTCTCTTTTTTCTTTCTATCAACAAACAATACCTGTTTAAATAAATAAACAATACAAAGTATAAATTTCAAATAATAAAACTAATTATGTGTGTGCATGCATGTACAAACCTTAAAACCTTGTTCCTGGTTTTTGAGAGAGAGCTTAGCTTCTTCTACAGTAATATTTCTCTTACCTCCCAACACCTGTTCACATTCAAACTTGCCTGAAAAACAAATATACTTGGGCTTTTAAAAAAACAAAAAACATGACATATTTAATTCTATAAACTCATGAACCATCAATAATGTAGTTTATTCTACATTATACTGTTTATTATTGAAACTATTAAATATGTACTCATCTCAAGCTTCACTATCATGATTTCCAGATTCAATGCATAGTGAGCAATAATTCCATTGATTATTTCTGTGTGTATGTTATTTCTGTGTATATATATATATATACATATATATATATTGATTAATTATGACAATCAAGATATAATTCTTCCTCTTAAAATGTTTGCAGATGCTGAAAATTAGCTTCCAATCAAAAGTCACAATACTTACCAGCTTTTTCAATTAAGACAGAATGAAGTGCTTTAGTTAAGGCCAGAGCACTCTCCAATTTATCTTGTTTAATATACGGGTGCTAAGAAATGAAAAACAAAAAGTTTTGAACAACAAAGTCAGTCAGTCTACTATATTATAAAGTACTTCTATTTGATTATTTTAGATATAAATTCAGATCAGTATACATATACATGAAATTAAGTGGTCTTTTTGCACTGTTAAGCCTTGGGAACATGGTATCATTACTGAGTGAAGAAAACTTAATGCGAGTCCTTTTGGCTTGATTCTACTGTGGTAACATATTGTGACTCAGGCATACAGAAATATTTCTGAATTCACAAGATCAGCACTATTAACTTAACTAATTAAGATCTTTTCAAACATCTCTACTTGTAATTTACATTATTTGTCATAAACTTGCATCAATTTCACAATTTCTACAGCAGGAAAAGCTTTGTTTACAATATAGGTTTTGAGTAATATAAATGTAAATATGTAAGTGTGACTTATGTACTTTAATTGAATTATAAACAATGTATAAGCACAAATAAATACCTTGGATGTAAACTCATATACTGGAGTAGAAATACCTACAAGAAATAAGAATATTAAAATAAAACACCAAAATACATAACTATGACCAATTTATAGGATCTATTCAAAGTTAATGGGATAATTTTCTTTTAATAAACAGAAATAAATGATGATCACAAAAAGTTACGATTATAAAATAATTTATTCCTTCATAATTATGCTGATGTTATTATCGATCTTTGAAGTAATTCTGATGTATTAACTTAACTCTTATAATATACCAGAACTCATGTATTATAGCATTTGATGTTTTAGAAGAGTAATTTTGTTTATAATAAGAATACTGTACATGTTGAAAAAAGATCTAACTATGAGTAAATTTTAAAGACAAGAAATACTTTGAAAAAGGTTTTCATATATAGAAAGATACTGAAAGATATTTATTAAAATATGTAATGGGAGAGAATTTGCTACAAAATTTAACCAAGCTATGTAGTTAGAAAGTTATTTTTCTTTATTTCACTTACTGTTATGGGTCATGTTGAAATTAAGGTCTCGCTGTCTAAATCCTACATAAAGAAGACCCAGTATAATGAAGAACAGAAGAGTTATCACCAGAAGTAACATAGACACACAGTGTGAATAATTGGTACTACTCTTGGAGTCCTCTTCAGTCATAAATTCATCTGCCAGCCTATTATTCCCACTTCTGACACCATTAGCTTGGAGTGGTTTAATGAAGTGGTACATACCTCCTAGATAAATAAAGAACATTAGTGAACTCTAAACATATCTCAAAATAAAGAACATCATATTTTGAATCATCTGGTTTATTAACATGGTATTTGGTATATAAATTTTCTTCGCAGATACAGAATGTCCACTGACATATAAATATGCTTCACAACAACAATCAGTTATGCTTATGAACCACCCTAATCTACAAGACTATTGATCTATACTCAAATATGTTAAAAGCAAGTAAAAATATTGATAAAATTAAATTCATTAATAAAAAAGTTTAATATTACACCAAGAAAAATTTTAGAATATTTCTGAAATTGATGATTAAAATCACAAAATATGATTTTTTGAGACTAAAGCCACTAATGCATCTTAAAGTTAACACTTTTTATTGTCCAGATACAAAACAAATTGAAGTACAAGAAATCAGTCTTAACAATACAATCTAATCTACGACCAACCTACAATACATTCATAGTTTGCACATAATGTATACAAGTGTAAACAATCTAAGCCTAAAAAAGACAAAAAGAAAGAAAACACACACAAAAGTATAAGTTTACTTAAAAAAAAGAATAACCACAAATAAACAATGCACTTTGATTTTTTTTTGTCTGAATGTATATTCTAAATTAGATAAAATCTAGCACAGTGCACAGATGAATATTTCATAAATACACACAGGTATTTTATTTAAAACTACAACTGTACATTTTAAGAAAAAAGCACACAGAGATTCCTTGTTCTTCAAATATAAAACCCAACTAACTTTAACTTTGTGCCTTCCCACATCATACTAAAAAAACAAATAACATGAAAAAAATACAAGCAATCAGCTTAAAGTACAACAATTGGCTGACTGTTTAACTCTTTCAACTCAGGCTTGGTCCCTGGGACTGACCTCGTAACCATTTTGTGCTTGTTATAGTTTTCATGATATAACTTTTAAATTAGGAAGAGAATGTTAACAAACTTTGGCAGTTTATCAGTAAACATTACAATGCTTTCACATGCAAAATATAATTTTTTTAAAGTCTTAAGGTTTGTAAAGCAATGTTTCTCTCATGCCTTTTTTTATTCTTTTCACATCTTGCCTATCTATCATGCAAAGTAATATTCATTTTAAGATTAAAATTACTTTTATGTATCAGAAAATTTTGAAATTTCGTATGCAAAATCTTTATAATGTCCAGATAGTTATCAAACATTTCTTAAGAAAAAACTTCATATTTTATCTGTTATTTTCAGTAATTAATCTCTGTACGGGTTTGGTAAATTTGACTGATCTAGCAACCAGCATAAAAATTTGGAAATAAACATAAATTATACCTCTTTCATTCTAGAATGAACACAAAAACATAAATGTTTAGACAAAATAGCTTAAATCTCATTACATTATACATCTATATATATTTATTATTTTTATTATATTGTCCTTTCACCCGTGCCTGGGTAACAATACAGAAGTTACAACGATGCAGCTCACGTGCACTCATGTTACCGTATCAAATTACATAAAGATGACCTTTGGTCTGTACAAAATAACTTGTCTTGGCTGTGTTTTAGTTGACTAGTATTTTGTAAAATACAATCACATTTCAGTTATTATACATAAAATATGTATATAGATTATTGCTATTTTGAAATAAGTTCTTAAACATATTTTTCCTAAAACATAGAACAGTAAATAAAGAAGTAAAGCAAACAATTATCTCTTTCAGTTATGACCTTTGAACTCAGTTGCTGCTTGGCAAGCCTTTAACAATTCTGCATGTGGAGGATATGAAACAAAATATTTTTTTTAGGTTTTATATATACTTTTGATTAACTAAAAAGTAATAAATTACTACATCAATACCATGGAATTCCACTATAATTTACCAAATGTAGCAACTAAGCTGTATTTGGGTCTAAAAAAATATGAAATTTTGAGCAGACTACAGACACAACCCACCTCATTGAAATCTTGGTCCAAAAGAAAGAAATGGGGAAGGAACATTAAAAAGGCTGAGAAATCCCATAGGGGACATTATGAGCTTCTGATTGGTTATTCATGTCATATATATATAGAAGTAAGTGTATATAAGGGAGCATTTCCAAAAATGGAAAGAGGTGAGCGGGGTGCCATTGTATTTGATTTATTATGTGAGCAATATCTTAGCAAATAGAAAAGATAAGACCTTCTTATTTCATATTCTAGCTTGTCAATATCTGTAATTTGAGTTTCTAATTCGTATGAAACTATAGACTTAGTATTTTGACTTCACAAACATCTAAACTGAACCAGTGCTGCATTCAATACACCATGTGACACACAAATATCGATGTTTATCTGCATTTTTTTTATATTTACTTCTAAATTAACAAATTGAGTAATGTATAGTTCTAAAATTTGTATTATAATCTACAGTTTGGTACCAAACTTATTGACATAAATTCATGAAATAGTAGTTCAATAAAATTTTGAATGCGAGTCAACAAAGAAATGACATGGCCTTTCACTTGTGACGCATCTCGAAAGGGTTAATAGAAGACTTAAATTTGTTAAGCAAATATTTATAACTAATAAAATAATTATACATCGTCCATAAAATTCAGTAACCAGTGGTTGTTTCATATAACATACAGACAACAAGGGTCTGTTTGGTTCTTCAAGGCTATCCCTTCACACCTACTCTCAAGAAAAAGTAAGAAGTTAAACCCATCCTTTTATATTTTCTCAGGAAATTGTTGGTTCCCCTTTAAACTCTTGTAAAGCCTGCCTCTACAACCATTGATGGCAACTTATTCCAGAAGCCAATCAGCCTGTTAGAAAATAATACTGTCCTAACTGAAGTCTATCAACCTCCCAGACAATCTTATAAACTTCAGTAAGATCACATCTTACCATGCTTTTCTCCAGAAAAAATAACTTAAGAAATCTTAATGTATCCCCATAAGATAAACCTTTCAACCCTGGAATCATTATAGCAGCCCTCCTCTAAACCCTTTCTAATAAGTCAATATAATTTCTCAGATAAAGGGACCAAAACTGTACACAGTATTCCCAGTGAGGCCTGTAACTAATGAGAGATAATTACCATTTTTAACTTGTAATAAGTATTTCTATAAATATACAAATTCCATTAGCTTTGCTACTAAAAACAAAGTACTGTCACAATAGCTTGGACAACTTAACCAACACTATGCCAAGATCCTCTTCTTCAGTCGTGTCATTCATACATCACCTTAACAATATGCAAGCTTACCCAAAGCTTTCAAGTCAACTACTAAAAGTAAACATTCACTAACTAAATTATAGCTTACCTTCTCTGTTGGTCACCTTTAATGTATCGCTCACTTGTTGAAAACACAGAATAAAAAACAAACTGGATCAAGGTCAAGTACATACCATAAGGTTTAAATCCATCTAAGCGAAATATTAGCTCCTATAAAGAACAGAGTTAAAAAATAGTTAATTGCAACATGTACTAATAGGTAAGCAATATTAACCTGACTTCAACAATCACCAGCACATGAGGATTATGAAAGATAAAGGGAGAATTATGATACCAAAAATTTTTTTTATGAAGAACAGCTGGCACAGAATGTTAAAATTAACAGTTTGAGATTTAAAATATATTAAAGTAATCAGGAAGTGAGAATGGGAACTGAACTTTTGAGGGACAAATAATATTTTTGTTGATGTCTACAAAACTGCAGAACTTTTAAGTTATGCTCTCTATTAGTTTACACTAGAGAATATGCTGGGTAGATTACCAACTCTCAGAATTCATTTATAAGAAAGGTTTTGAAAGTGTACAAAATTAAAAATAATGAATGTCAATGAATGGGGGGGGGGGGTGCCAGAAGATTGGAGGGTGGTTAATGTTACTCTAATTTATTAAGGGGTAGGATATAAGCAGTTTTAATAAAAGATGCAAAGATCATTTGATGAAGTTAAAATTTCTGGCAGATAGTCAATATAGTCTTATAAAGGAAATGTCCTGACTTACTTGTGCATTAACTTTTCTTCAAGGATGTTACTTCTAACCTTGATACATGTAAAGGAAGTTTCAGAAAGCTTTCGATAAGGTGTCACATAAAAGGAATGCCCAGGAGTACAAATATATAACTATTATTTGGTCTTTCAAGGCTATCCTTGCACATCCACTCTTGAGAAAATAAAATTTAAACCCACCCGTTTAGTTTTTCCTTGTTTCCAGAGTAAGTGTGCAAGGACAGTCTTTATAAGACAAAATAGTTCCTTGTTACCTGCATATTATGTTTATAGGGAACTGATTCCAACTTAAACTTTGGTATAATGCTGGCCTCCATTATTGTTGAAGTTCATTCATTTCATAATTCCTTTCCTAACTTTCAAACAGAATAAAACACAAAAAAATCAGACTTTTATCCTACCAATACTATGGATAATGGTGTAAACTTCAATAAGTTCACCTTTTACCCTTCTTTTCTCAAGAGAAGATACAAGGTCTTAAACTGTCCCTTTATGATAATCCCTCCATTTCCAAAATCATCCTAATAGTCATCCTCTAAAACCTATAAAATAAGTCAATATCTTTTCTTAGCTAACATAACACTTGAGAGACAAGAAAGAGCCCCACAGCTCATAGTGGCATTCCCATTTGTTTCATCAAACCCCCACCTGTCTAAATTCAGCCCCAATTTTTTCTTCAAGTATTCATCAAGCCTTCTTATGAATTCTCCCAAGCCTGTTATGTCTATTACATCTGAAGAAAATCAACTCTAAAGACTGACCACCCCAATATTAAAATAAAACTGCCTCATTTGCAGATTATTTCTACCCTGCCAGATCTTAAATCTATCTCCCCTAGTCCTGCCACTCTTACCATTAAACACACACACACAAATATTATGCATTAATAAAATTTACTCCATTGATAATTTTAAATGCTTAATCAGACCCCCTTTAACCCTTCTTTTCTCAAGGAAAATAATTTTAAGGGCATTAACCTGTCCTCATATGACAGCCCCTCAATCCCAGATATCATCCTAGTAGACCTCCTTTGAAACCTTTCCAACAACTCAATGTCCTTCTTAAGGTAAAGGAGAACATAGACTGATTACAGTTCTCTAATTTATAACTTCCTCTGACTTATATTCAATATTCTTGAATATACAATGCAAAATCCTATTTGCTTTCCCACTAGCAACAGTATACTGCCTATGAGGAGCAAAGACTGATAGATCAAAACACTGAGATACTTTTCTCCCATAATACTATTAAGTTGCATCCCATCAAGTTAGTTACTGTAGTTTAAAGTGTCCCACATGCATTACCTTGCACTTAGCATAATTAAATACTCTCTGTAATCTATTTGCTCAATTCACAAAATGATACAAATCCCTTTGAAAAACAACTAGCTTCCTCACAGCCAACTACACCAAAAACTTCAACATCATCAGTGAACTTGACCATTTCCTTATCATTATTATACATCAAAATTAGTAAGGTTCCATCACAGAGACCTAATGTAAGCCACTTGTAACTAGAATCCAGATTGACTGACTTCCTTTTATTACAACCTTTTTCTTCCTCTCCTCCTACCAACCCTTAACCCATTAAGCTAGCTTATCTTTCACACCAACAGAGATAATTTTCTTTAAGTCATTTATGTGGCACTTTGTAAAAATCTTTCCCAAATTCAAGTATATTAAATTTACACCTTTACCCTCACTAACGTAAGCAGTGACAAATTTGAAAAAAATCAAGAGCTTGTGAGACAAGAATTCTCCCATATGAAACCATGCCAGTTGTTCCACAAAATTTTAAACTTTAAGTTGGATTTGCATATTATCTTTAATCAGTCTCTCCAAAACATTTACCACTATAGAAAATATTAATTGGCCTATAATTATCTTGGTCAATGCTCGTCACCTCCTTTACAATTAGATGTACTTTAACCAGCTTCTAGTCTTCTGGCACTTTTCCACAACTCAAAGATTCACAAAAACTTTTTGGAAGGTGCTTAATTATGAAAACTTCTTTAAACCCTTGAAAACTTTTATCTAGCCCAAAACTGTAAACAGTATTCCAAGTAGATGCCTAGCTAGTGACTGGTATAGAGATAATCACCTTTCTTAGATTTGTGATCAATATGTTTATAAATACACCTTAAAGTTCTATTAGTTTTAATTCTAGCAATACAGCACTTCATTTTGATATGAACTCTTTATAGAACTTATGAAAGCACCAATTTCGATTTTATAAAAAATACAAAAGTGTACACTTCATAGTTCATACACTAAACATATTTTGATAATATTCAGATATTTAAAACGTATTGTAAATTTAATGCTTTATCTAGGTCTAAGCTAGTGTTTCCCAGTCTGGAGTCTACAAAGCCTTACTAATACTATGATTAAGGTAGTTAGTACTGTTTACAAAAGTTACTGTTCCCTACTCCAATTACACCATGGAGATAAATGTTACTCAAGAGCACCTTTGGCCTCACTAAGTTAAATGTTAAAATTTACAGTTACTGCTGCATATTCCCCATTATTGCTGTATTGTTCCTTTTTTTTTTTATTCATAAAAATAAACCACCACCTAGCAGATAAAGCAATTCCAAATAGGTTTAGCAATAGATCAGGTCTTTCAATTTACAGTTTCAGGTTTAGTAATTGCAGTTGTTTTGCCTGATGAAGGGAGGTTAAAGATACAAGATTTGAATTTGCAACCACATATCTGACTGAAGCGGTATTCAGTCCACTTGTGAGTATCAAAATAAAAGCACGTAACGGACTGATATACACATTAATGATATTCAACTCATTACTTACTCAAATTATCACAACAATTGAACAAAGCAAGATCATGCACAAGTCAACTGTTAATGTTATAGAACTATATTTATATTACCATTTTTAATCACATACACACACTGTACATGGGTTTTATTTGGTTTATTTAATTTTAAAACCTACGCCTGTTTTCCATTTGTTTTTCAACTTAGAAGTTACATTATTATGTTTTTCCTTCGTCCACAGTTATGCTTTCTTTAACTTTTAAAGTTATTGTGTATAGAAATGAAAACACCCACTGCATATTTAAGAATAGAGATACATGAATGTGCATAGGAAGGGCTCTAACTTCTAAATCTAAGTTCGCAAATATTGGTCTAACTTGAAAACTGTGACAAAGTTGTACTCGTAGGCCTATGACTATTAGTATTAACACTGAGTAAGATAAAACAGCTTGTATTAACACATACCTGGAAAAAACCGTAAGCCAAGTAAAATATAAAAATCCCAAGAGTGCAAATACAAAACTGCACAGTTTTAGAAAAAGTATTCAACCTGAGACAGCATAACACAGTTACATCACCTGGTACATTTACTAGTTTATCTGATAATTCTTGTTTTAACTCCCCATTGGTAACAATGTCATGGCAACTACGTTTTGAGTTTGACATGGTTCACAAAACTTCACGGAAAGTTCTGACACAAATACTGTGAAAGTTAAACAAATAATATGCAACTTTTCACGCACCTGTCCACCACAAACACACTTACTCAAGTTACTGGTCTTCACTTAATTGACGAGCTGAATTTGAAATGAAAGTATAATTTTATAGGATATCTTGTATCAAATTTTCTATCACTTTGTTAACACACATATAAAAGCAATCTTTTACACTTACGATATTACTAGCTAGTTTCTAAGCTTATTTGCCATCAAATGCAACATGTGGCAAGTCAACAGCTGGTGAGAAATGCCTGCCATGTGGGAGTTAAATATAGATTGTGGCATCATTGTGCGTGTTAGAAGAAAGACTTCGTCGGCACTAACTGGAATAGATATGGTACATATTTATTAATGCAAATAAACTCCGACCTTTATCTCCAGAATATAATTTTATTCATCATTATTTCGCTATTACAGCTTCGTCAGGAGTAAACAATCACCTACAAGTTCTCGAATCACTAAACACTGAAGAAGCTGTAATAGCGAAATATTGATGAATAAAATTATATTCTGGAGATAAAGGTCGGAGTTTATTTGCATTAATAAATATGTACCATATCTACTCCAGTTTGCGTTAAAAAACTTAAGAATAATAGATATGGTACAGTTAATATATTGTTATAATTACCTCTGCCACAAAAAGTGGATGAACATTATGTTTTCATACCTGTGTGTGTTTGTCAGCAAGATTTCTCGAAAACGGCTGAATGGATTTGGAGGAAAGTTGGTATGTATTTGGAATATGATCCAGATAAGAAGTGATTAATTTTTGGGAGGGTCAAGGTCACGAAACTAAAAAAACACCCATATCTGTTAACATTAGGACCGATTTTTCACACTACTTTGCTCTGTAATTCAGTCAAAAATGATCGGATTTTGCCGTAACTTGGTGAACTCATGTTCAATATTATTCCTCATTGTCCTGACAAAAATGGTCCATGTCCATTGATAACGACGGACATATAGACACATTTTCGTAATTTTTGAGAGCCGAATAATATGATTAACGCTGCATGGCGGAATTATATTGTTGCGTCAGCGAGGTCACGTGACTAGTATCACGCCACGTCCTTCTAGAAATATCCTGTTCTTTCATGAATGCTCTAGCGTGTACTAGATATGTGTTAGTCTTGTATATATATAAGACGGTCACAACGTGACGGAACAGTGTGTGTAATTGAACTGAGTATTGTTGAGTCGAGCACGAGCACGTGATTAGAAGTCAAAGCATAATCAGCTCCCAGTCTGAATGTACTTAATGAAACCCAGATGGCGCTTCAGAATAAACTTTATTTTTTCATTTAATTTAATGCATTAAATAAAAACTAGATAGCGCATCACAATTTTTAGAATGGTAAATAAAACACTGGTGTTTCATTTGTATACAACTCTTTTTTCACCCATTTGTTAATGTTGTAAAAATATTAAATTTAATTCTGAAACTCTCTTCATTACTCTATAAGCTTCTTTGTTCGAGTTCGTAAAATAATAATAGGTTCAACGTTGCGGTAGGAACTCAGCATACTATTATTATTATTAATTTTAAGTTTCAACTTTCTTCCCGTGTATTGTTATAATTGAAGAACTGACATATCTTCCCTACACATGTTGGAATTCTCTCGTATTTATGGTTCGATAATTTGTTGAATTAACATTCTTTACTACACAACACAGAAGGAACTAATTACGTCTATTTGTATCATAACACAAAACAACGCTTCGTTAATGGTAAATGAAATATAAATGTCACATCAGTTTATGCATAACTCCGTTTAAGTTATATAAAGTACTTATGTCACTACATTTTAATATTGTTACATCTCCGTTCGTTAGTTAATTTTCCGTAAATTCGTTCCGACGAAACTTTAGCGACACAAGTCCTTTCTTAAATAAAATTGGTTTATTCTTTCCGAATACAACTTTACGATACACTTAATTTCAACAGTCGCTCTATAACAAACACTATAATTCTCAACGAACGCCTTATGATTATACAAGTATGTTTGTTTGTTTATTTGTATGAAATTAAGCACAAAACTACACAATGGGCTATTTGTGCTCTGCCCGCCACGGGTATCGAAACCCGGTTTCAAGCGTTGTAAGTCCGCAGACATGCCGCTGTGCTACTGGGGGCTTATACAAGTAACCACGTGAATAGTAGTCCAGCCTACCTGTGGAATAATATATAGATCGAAAAAAATTATCCACACAACAAGCTCTTTCAGCATATTTTAATTGCATAAGCAATTTACTAACCATTTTCAATTGAGCAAATGTGAAACTTTTATACCGTTAACACAGCTCTACTTAATTTAATCATACAAATTACTTTGTTAATTCGGAATTATTCACTTAAAAACTTGATATTCAATGCAATAATATCATTTTGAAAATTTTATGATATTTACACAATTACATCGGTTGGACATTTTTTACGCCTCGGTGAGCTCTCAGTGGATTATTTGTTAGTTGTCTGTTTGTTTGTGTTTTGAATTTCGCGCAAAGCTACATGAGGGCTATCGGAGCTAGCTGTCCCTAATTTAGCAGCTTTAGACTTAAGGGAAGGCAGCTAGTCATCACCACCCACCGCCAACTGTTGGGCTACTATTTTACAAACGAATAGTGGGATTGACCGTTACATTATAACGCCCTCACGGCTGAAAGAGCGAGCATGTTTGGTTGGATGGGGATTCGAACCCGCGACCCTCAGATTGTTAGTTGTCAATTTATCTTAGCCTGGCATGGCCAGGTGTTTAGGGCGCTTCATTCGTAAACTGAGGCTCGGCTGGTCCCCGTCCCACTAAACATGCTCGCTCTTTCAGCCGTGTGGGCGTTATGATGTGACAATTAATCCCACTATTTTTTGGTAAGAGAGTAGCCCAAGAGTTGGCTAGCTGCCTTTCCTCTAATCTGTCACTGCTATATTAAGGACGGCTAGCGTAGATAGCCCTCGTGTAGCTTTGCACGAAATTCAAACCAATTTATCTTAACATGCGTAAATGAAAACTATTAAGATTTTAACTTCTAAGTGACTTTCACTTCTTGAAAAAAAAACAATATTTAGTATAAAACAATAAATTTTAAAATATAGATCGTATCACAAATAGTTTCTAACTGCCTGCGTAGCCGGAAGGCGGGGGGGGGGGGGTAAGGCACAATATCACAGAAGACTGGGACATAAAAGTGTCTTAATAGCAGTGCTTTGATATAAAAATGTGTGTATAGCCACTTCTATGTGACTTAGAAGTACAGGTTTCTGGTATATTGGTTGCTGATGGTGGCCATTTTCAAATCCAAGATAGCGGCCATAATAGGATTATTTCAGGTTGGCTTCTTCCCAGAAAAATCAAATGTTTAATATATATATATATTTATCTAACATCCTGGCAACTTTCATACTTTTATCACAGAGTGCGCAATAGACCTTCGCAGAATGACGTCATGACACCACGTGATATTGTTATTTTCTCCTTGTGTCTGTCATATTGGACGGCAGTGCACGTACATTCTACACAGACAAAATATTTGAGAATGCCTTTACACTGTTGCGGTTTTGTCTGCATGCATGATTCAGAATCTGGTATATACATATATATATATATCTATAGATTCCCAACTGACCCAATAAAAAAAAAAAAAAAAAAACAGTATGATTGCTTCAGTTATGAGACAAAATTGGCAACCTTCACAGTATTCTCATATCATCATTGCATATTACATATCACAATAAATCTAATGAGTAATTTTTGTACAGATTTAAACTTTGTTTTTCATTAAATGTGTGTATAAGTATCCTACAATTTATTAATTGTTGAAACTATTGATATTTGTTTGATAAGGGCTTCATATCATATCTACGGACACTAATGAGTAACGTGTGTAATTATAGTGATAATAGGTGCTATCTCTACGGACACTAATGAGTAACGTGTGTAATTATAGTGATAATAGGTGCTATCTCTACGGACACTAATGAGTAACGTGTGTAATTATAGTGATAACAGGTTCTATCTCTACGGGCACTAATGAGTAACGTGTGTAATTATAGTGATAATATATGCTATCTCTATGGAAACTAATGAGTAACGTGTGTAATTATAGTGATAATAGGTGCTACCTCTACGGACACTTATGAGTAACGTGTGTAATTATAGTGACTATGGGTGCTATCGTTAGAATAGGCTATGGTCAGTCGCACGTCACTGTATGGTAGATGAGAGGCATACAGGTAATATAACGATACTGGTGACAAGTTCTATGTTCTTGTAGTGACTATGAGAATTAAAAAAGTAGGAGTTACCACAGTAGGAGTCACCTTAGCAGTAACAATCTGTTTTTACTTTTATGTCCTGTATATAATAATTTACAACCATTCAAGTTTCTTTAGCATATCGTAATTCCGTGGCTTAATCTACTGGTGGATTCAACAAGACACACATAAATATCACAGTATCTGGAAGCAGATCATGATCACCTGTTGAACAATATATGGATCGAAATAACAATATGGTCCATACAAAGCTCTTTCAACTTATATTATCATAAGCAATTTCGGCATAGATTTGAAAAACCAAACATACTGATATGATATAGATCCAGCTTATCTCTCTTTGGTTAACTTGTGTTCAGGGTTACTGATGAGGATTGTAATTCTCCTTGAAAGTAGTATAACTCAATAACACACGTTGATCAAAGTGTAGATTGAACTGGACCTCCCATGTTGAACTTAAGAGTTCGAGATTAAACAATTTTGGGATATTAAGTTTATTTATTATAGTTTTGAAGACTCAGAGCGTATTCACTCAGCCTTATCGTTACCATTGTCACAAATCAATGGAGGTGTGATGTCCAAAATGGCGGATACTAGTGTTTTTGCTTCCCGTACATCACGTGATCTGGTTCATAAATCTGCCCCACGAGATGGGCTACTATATTGTAGTTTCCTCGAAATTTTGACTTTGTTCTCATCCTTTATGCATTTTCCCGGCTAATTCCCTCCCTCCTCTCCCACACCCCAATGGTGGGATTCAAATATTTTAACAACAGGTTCTCTCACTAGC